GGCAAACCGTGTATGTACTTGCTGCCTAAGATCCATAAGCCCAACAACCCTGGACGTCCCATTGTATCTGCATGCTCCTGTCCCACGGTGTATCTTTCTGAATTTTTAGATAGTATTTTCCAACTGATTGTCACCAGTCTCCCTTCATTTGTCAAGGACACCAACCATGCCCTCAACATTTTCGAATCCATCAGACTACTTCCTGGTAAAACCTATCATCTTTTCCTGATAGACGTATGCTCCCTCTATACGTCTATCCCTCACTCTGATGGTCTTAGAGCACTCCAGTTCTTTTTGGACAGAAGGTCCAACCCAATCATCCCTACTTCAGTTCTTGTACGCCTTGCCGAACTGGTACTGACCCTCAACTTTTTTGAGTTTAATGGTGAGTATTTTGACCAGATCAGTGGGGTTGCGATGGGCACCAAGATGGGTCCTAGTTACGCGTGCCTTTTTATGGGCCACCTGGAATACGAGGTCAGTTTATCATACCCGGGCAAGTTTCTGGAGGTGTATAGGAGATACATAGATGATGGCGTTGGTATCACAGTAATGTCCATGGTTGAGCTTGACCAATTTATTACTTACATCAACAATTTCAATCCGGCTATCAAATTCACCTCACTGGTCTCCACCACTTCAGTTAACTTTCTTGACATCACGATTAGCATCGATTTCCCGTGTCTGAAAACCACAGCCTACTACAAACCCACGGATTCTCACAGTTATCTCCTCTATACGTCTTCTCACCCACTACCGTGTAAAAATTCTATTCCATATTCACAGCTCCTTCGATTGCGCAGGTTGTGCTCTGACGATTCTGACTTCTTTGATAAATCAGTTGAACTTCTTGAATTCTTCCGTGCCCGTTTCTATCCGGAACACATTCTACAAGGGGCTCTAAACAAAGTTTTAGCAATCACCAGGAGAGATGCTTTTCCTACCAAACGTAACTCCACCAATGATGGACCTAAATTGATCTTGACTTTTCACCCTAACAATGTGGTTGCTTCCAAAGTATTCTTTCGTCATTTGGACATCCTCCGCTCTGATCCGGACACCAAGATTATCTTTAGTGAGAAACCTAGATTAGTTTACAGACGAGATCGCAACCTTAAAGACATACTTGTCCGAAGCCGACTCCCACCGATCCATACAGCACTTCCTCTTGGGACTACTCAGTGCTCATGCAGCACCTGCAAAACATGTCCTTTCGTTGTCCAGACTTCTTCGGTCAGTTTCCATAATGGTTCTTTTCAAATTAGGGAACCTTTTACTTGCGAATCCCGCAACGTAATTTATGCAATTATCTGCAAACGATGCAGCATGGCATACATTGGGGAGACTGGCAGGAAGCTAGCTGATCGTTTCCGGGAACACCTCTCTGATATCGACAAGAAGACACTCAAACCAATCCCTCTTCATTTTAATAGCCCTGACCACAGCGGTAAAGATGACATATCTGTCACAGCATTAAAATCTTGCTCTGGCGATCATACTACCCGCCTCGCTTTGGAAAATCGCTTTATCCACAGCCTTGGCGTTCTTAGTCCAAAAGGTATCAATATCCAACATACCTTCATCTAAATAGTCCTAATCTTATCACATTGTAAATGTTAATTATTTTATTTTATTTCATATTATTACCATATTCTATTTCTTATCAATATCATTTATGTATCCTTAACACTTGCATTTCTTTTATTCCCAGTATTGTGACTATATTTTTTAGCCATCGTTTATTTTATTTTATTTCATTTATTCCGCATCACATTTTTTAAACGTCGCTCAAGTCACCCCTTAGAGATCTACATACTCTCCATTCCTCGTTTGTGTAGTCCACGTGTGTTTGAAAAAGGCTGCCTGGCCGAAACGCTACGTTGTGTTGTTTTGTGCACGTTTTCCTCTTTCCCATTTTGTTGAGCTTTTTAGTCAAATTTCTCTGGAATTCATTGATAAATCGAAACAGAGTTTATTCTGTCCTGTTTTATATAAAGATGTTTTAAAATGTGCTGTTGATCACTAAACCTCACAGTGACCGCCATTATGAATGAGTTTTAGTAAGTCGTTGAAGCTACAAGTCACATGTCGAGTCACAAGACATTAATTACCTCTGGTTTTCTGTGAGGGTGCATTGATGAATGAGTGAAGAATTGCCTCAGTGGACTGGAACATTTCCACATGGGTTGATTTTGTCTCCTTCTTCAGAAGCAAAGGAAAGTTTCTTAAACACTGTGACAAAACAAATTGATACAATAGAAACAGTGGGACAGAGAAAGTTGAGAATCAAATACTACATTCCTAGTGAGGGTTCAAGGGCCCCATTGAGGGGGAAACAAGAATAAAACCACTGCCTTCTCAACAAGCATGACGTAAGAGTTGACTAACTGTGGGGCTTTCTTCTAAGTTGCAGTGCATCTGCCTGAATGGCAAAGAATCAGCACAATCTGCACACAGATAAGTCAGATCTGTAAAATGGATGTGCATGCAGCACTCAGGTTCTGGAACAAGACAAAGGTGGACGAACATCCAGAACTTTCCACTGGAGTTCACAGCCCGTGGTCGGAAAGAAGAGTTGAATGTATATCACTGTAATTGAGAAGTCATTAAGACTTTCACGAGAAAAAAATGTAATGGACACAGAGCAAGGGGAAGACCACACAAAACATAGAATGACAGCAACAAGAACAGCTTTAAAGAAATGAAGATCAACTTATACAATGCATTAGAAAGAGCACACAGAAGATACTGACATCTCCACCTGGTACTTCAGTAGGCAGCTGGAGAAGGAGAAGAATCAGAGAAATGAGACTCCATTTAGTTTCAAGTTGCTTGTCTCTGTTGTTGTTGGAACCTTTCCATCTTTCCAAAGGATAATGTTATATTGTGCTATGAGGAGGCATGTGAATCACAGCCCATGGCCATGGTGAGTGTGACTTGTAAGACTCGCCTGTGTTAAGAACAGTCTTCCACAGTCAGATAGAGCATGGATTTCATTACTGTTGTTGCTGTTACATATATTTAGTTTGCTTCTTCTCTGACGCTCAGCTCTGATCCTTTCATTTTTTTCTTTTATTCTCATTCTCTTCCTGATTTGCCCCTGCACACGAAACCTTTGATATAATTTTTGTTCCGATGAGTCTAACTCAATACCTGTATCATTCATGTCCCGCTTGCACACATCTTTATATCGTGGTAGAGGCGGGCTGTGTCTGTGTGGACTAATGTTATATCTGCAATTAAGCAGTAAATTGTGATCTTGCAGCGTGTGTTCAGCTGCATTCTATCTGTCTATATGAGCATAGGTAAATGGATAATAAAGGTAAATGAAGTTCAGATGGGCGAACCTCAAGGAAGAAAACTGCTCAAATAGGTTCTGGAGCCCCAGTTTTGGTAGGAAAAGCATACAGAATAGACCCACTATACCCCAATCGTCATGTTATTGAAGGTGATTAAATACTGATTTGCTGAAATAAGATGTGTTTAGCTGATGGGCACAGATATTGCAGCCTTGCTGTAAACCACAACAGAATATGTGGCTTTTAAAGGAAAGCATAGATGAAGAAAAGAAAGAAGGAAGAAAACATGAGAACTGCTGGTTTATATGTAAAACTAATTCTTTCCAGCCTGCATAGCAATGTTGGACCCCTATATCCTGTTAATTGAGACACTGAGGTAAATCATTTATGAGTGATTTAGTGCCTGATTTACCCGCCTACACAGTTGGTTAAAAGAATTATGAGTGATTTAATGTTGGGATTGAATCAAGCTACATGGTAAAAGGCTGGTAGTTTTCTGTACTTTTCAGGGGGTCTGCATGTAACAAGATAGTGGTGCGGGTTCAATCCCTAGAAGAGGCAGAATAAATTTTCATCACTAGTACTCACTGGGGTCGACCGAGCCAAATTAAAAAAGTGTCCGTTAAGGGACCCCTTTTCACGTGTTCAGGAGTATTTGGCATATTGTGATAGATTGACCAATCGACACTCGATGGCTGGTCATCATCATGCCGACTGCTTTTACTTTCCATGACTTTACCAAATACCTATTTTAGGCTTGGTCAGAGTGGGAGTAAAGGTAATTTTTGGAGCCAGATTTGAACCTACAATCTTTGGGTCCAAAGCGAACATAATAAAAAAGAGGTATCAAACAATATTCATTGTAATGTCTTGGAAAGAAAGTTAAGTTGAGTGGAGTTGAAAACTGACATAACAGTACTGGAAACATTCCCATAAGACCGCACAGACCTAGTAAGTGGCCCGCGAATCAGTCACGGTTTTATTGTATCAAGGATCTTTAGATGCTAGGGCTCAATCCTCTAGCCCCTGGGTAAACTTAGTTAAAATAACCCAGCCATTAGCATTCCATCCCTAACGTCAGCAGCCAGCACAGAGTTCCATTTCTGTTGCTACCAGTAGCAGTCTGATTGCAGATATATCCTACCTTTCCTCTGAATTTTGAGTGTCGACCAAATCCCCTGGTCACTCCCCACGGCACTGTTCTTTTTAGATCGTAATTATTTGTTCATGCTTCTACATTCATTCAGTTGCTTCTTTAGGCTCTTGACCACATTAAACTTTATAGGATGTATGGTTCTGCTTACACACACATTGGGATCCTAGTCGATGCTGCATAGTTCATTAAGTGTCCTGAGATTCCCAAATGAAAAAAAGTTCTTCACTGTTTACTTTACTAGCTCGACACAACACATGTTGAAGTGAATGGAGAAAAAGGTGTGTATAAAATAGAGCCAAAATATTTTCTACTAAAGCCTTTGTTTAAAAAAAGAATCAACAGAAATTATTATAATAACAAATATCTCAAACCCTCCCCACTATTAAATTTGTTATTCATAGTTTGTGTTGCACTCAATTACTACTTGCTGTCAGTTCAAACTGCAGTGACTTCAGTTTTTGACACTTTTGAGCACATACAAGCTTGCCAGCAGAATTGTGAGGGTTGAAAAAAAATGTTAATACAGATTGTTTCACGTTTTGCAGATTGGTCAACTCCACAAGTCCTTTACTGGTGACTCTGGGAATCAGGAACCCTGTACACAAGCAGAAGCTTTCTCTCAAAGCAATGGACACAGTTCTCTTTGGAGCTCCAAAAAGTCAGTTGTTATCAGAGCTGATTTTTACCACTCATGTACTGAAACATTGTATGGCTGTATGGCTGACTGTTTGGTTGGCTTTTTGGCTAGTTGATTATTTGGTTGCTTGTTTTGTTGGTTCTTTAGATTGGTTGGTTGTATGATTGGTTGTATGGTTGGTTGGTTGGCTAGATTTTTGGTTGATTATTTGGTTGGTTATTTGGTTGTATGTTTGTTTAGTGGGTTGTTTGTTTGATTGGTTATGACCTGTTAGTCTGACCGGAACTCTGTTTTTATTTGAGGAGATCCGGTGTGTTCAATCAAAACTTTAAAGGGTATTTATGGACACCCTGTATCGTGAAAGTTATGTCCCTGTAGGTGTCTTGTGAATGCATACAAGAGTCACCCCTTATTGATGCCATTGGCGCATCAGACTTACGGTGTTAAAATCATATATGTGTAGACCAGTGAGTGTTCAGTGGGTGATGTGGTAAAAATCCTGCTGCTACCTTTTCTTCCCAGGATGTTACCTGGTACATGCTTCAAGTTAGGTCAACCTGGGAACCTAGTTTATTTTATAAAAATCTGTCTTGATTTGAGTTCTATACTTTTTCTTCTTCTTCTCCTCCTTCATCTTCTTCGACAAATTCTTCTTCATCATATTATTATTTTTCTCTTTTTCTTATTCCCCTTCTCCTCCTCCCCCTCCTCCTCATTCTTCTCATCCTCCTTGTTTTCCTCATTCTTCTTTTTCTTCTTCCTCTTCTTCTTCTTCTTAGCATTCACTGGCTGTAAACTCCAGCAGAAAGTTATGGTTGTTTATCCACTTATGGACTTAGTTTATGGCAGAGCTTGAGATTGGCATGCACATTTCTTTTACAGATCTGGCTTACTTGTATGCAAACTTTTAATTACTTACCTCTCGGGCAGATGCATTCCGAATTTGAAGGACAAGCCCCTAATTAGTATCTGTTCCAACATGCTTGTTTGGGGCAGTAGATCTATTCTTTTTATACCCTGAAAATAATTGGATTCAGACCCAAGATCTAGAAGGGGTTAAGAGTTTCAACATCCTGAGTCAGCAGAAGCTAACAATGTACAAGGATTTTAAGGACACCCTGTATCATGAACAAAAGTTATGTCCCTGTAGGTGTCATGTGAAAGTCTACAACAGGCACCCCCTGTTGGTGACTTGTTATTAATTATGGGGAGACTGATGTAGCTGGTATAAATAAGCAGATGTGGCCAGGGTAATTAAACAGGAGCTTTACAGTATATTATGTGTGGATAGTTGTCGAGGGGCTGTGTAGGATATATGTTGTCAATTTTCAAGACAAGTGTGTGGGAGGAAATGTCCATTGACACTTGTGGAAGTTTATTTTCCTCTGACTGTCATCATTTTGGAACTATGGAAACAGGTATTCCTTTTTTGGGGAAAGGGGGGGGGGGGGGGGGGGGTGTTGGAGTGGACTAAGGAACTGTCTCTTCCTCGTCTGCTTCTTTCTCCTCCTTTTCTTCTTAATTTTCTTCCTCCTCTTTTATTCATATTTTTCCTTCTCCTCATCTTTCTTTTTCATTGCATGTTTTGTGATTCTTTGTCAAGTTTGTCCCAGAATGTGTCCAGTATATCACTGTCTTTTTTTCCTCCTCTCTCTCTCTCTTTCTTATAACTGTTGATAACAGACATTTCGCTGATATCTGAACATGATGATGATGGTCGAGTAAATCATTAGAATTTTCTATTTAAAAAAAGTAAAGATGAATTTAATTGATTAGAAGATTCTAAAAAAAATAAAAACCTCATTAGAAGTTTCTAGAAAAGTAAAGATGTATTCAAATCATTAGAAGTTTCTAGAAGATATATTTAAATTTTTAGAAGTTTTCTGAAAGCAGTGAAATATATTTAAATAGTTTAAAATATATATATATATATATATATATATATATATATATATATATATATATATATATATATATATATATATATATATATATATATATATATATATATATATATATATATATATATATTTATATATATATATTTTTAATAAGAAATAAAAAAGGAAGAAAGGGAGGATCCTTACAAGTTCTTAGATATTTCTAGAAAAGGGAGGATGTATTCAAATTCTTACAAGTTTCTAAAATATATATTTTAAATTATTAGAAATTTCCAGAAGAATGAAGATGTATTAAAATCATTAGAAATTTCTGGAAACAACAAGATGTTTTTCGATCATTAGAAGTTTCTATAAATGGGAAAGTGTTTTTAAATCATTAGATCCCTTTGTGGGTTCCGGGGCCCTATTATAGGGTAAACAAGAATATAACCACTGCCTCCCCAAAAGTATGTCCTAAGAGTCGACTAAATGGGAGTTTCCTTCAAAGTCTGAGTGCATCTGCCTGAAGCAAGGAACCAGCATTTTGCATACAAATGAGTCAGATCTGTAAAATGGATGCACATGCAAACTCAGGTTCTGGAACAGGACTGCAGTCCGAAAAGTGGATGAACAACCAGAACTTTCCACCAGAGTTTATAGCTGGTGAACACGAAGAAGAAGAATAAATGATTAGAAGTTTATAGAAAAGGAAAGATGTATATAAATCTTAAGAAGTTTCTAGAAAAAGGACAATTTATTTAAATTCTTAAAAGTTTATAGAAAATGGAAGATGTGTTTAAATAATTAGAAGTTTCTAGAAAAAGGTTTAAATAGTTAGAAATGTCTAGAAAAATGTATGAAGAATGTTAAATTACAGGACTGCACAACTATGCCAAAGATGTCATGCTGTTCATGGCAGTACTACTTGCCATTGGAATCAGCTGGTTCGCTTGCCTCCACCACCGCTACTCTCAGACACAAGTCAAGAAGATGATGAAGGACCTGGAGGCCTTGCAGAAGGCTGAGGATGCTCTGAAGAAACTCAGCAATGAGTGAGTATACATTAGACTGGTAACTTTCTGAATGTTTTTAATGTCTTACACATCTGTATCTCCTCGGCCTCTTAATCTGATTGATTGTATTTTCTTCTACTACTCCTTTCCTAGATCTAATTGTTTTCATTTTCTGCTACGTCTCCTTCTTTCCTAGATCTGGTTGTTTTCATTTTCTTCTACATCTTATTCACTCCTAGATCTGTTTTCATTTTCTTCTGCATCTACATTTTCTCCTTTCCTAGATCTGATTGTTTTCATTTTCTTCTACATTTACATTTTCTCCTCTCCTAGATCTGATTGTTTTCATTTTCTTCTACATCTACATTTTCTCCTTTCCTAAATCTGATTGTTTTCATTTTCTTCTACATCTACATCTTCTCCTCTCCTAGATCTGATTGTTTTCTTCTACATCTACATTTTCTCCTTTCCTAGATCTAATATGTTTTCATTTTCTTCTACATCTACTTCTTATCCTCTCCTAGATCTGATTGTTTTCATTTTCTTCTACATCTACATCTTATCCTCTCCTAGATCTGATTGTTTTCATTTTCTTCTACACCACCTTTCTATCAGATTGTTTTCATTTTCTTCTACATCTTCATCTCCTCCTCTCCTAGATATAAGCTTTCTTCTACATCTCCTTTTTTAGATTCTACTCAGATGGACTGAGGAAACAAGAACGTCCAGGAGAAACCCTAAAATGCATGTTGCTAAAATAAACTGGATTCCATCCATGCTAAAGAAAGGATTGAAAAAGATAGAACATCATCATTGGTGGATTAGGCTATGGATGATGATAATAATGATGATGAGGATGAGGGTGAAGTTTATTAATAATTATTTTAGCTGTTATTCATGTTTCTTTTTATAACTTTTTCAGTTTGGTTCTGTTTTTGTGTGTGGATGTCTGGTACAATTTATGCATCCATTTTTTTAATCAGCAAGAAAAGACTTTTATTTTGACTATGTTGCTTTCTTTTTGTCAATAGCACTTTATAGTCCATTTGCTTACCCCATGATTATTGTTGCTGTGACATGCAATGAAATATCACTGTGTCTCTTAGACTGGCAGATGCTGAGAAGACACAAGTTTCCATGCCACCTGAGAAGCAAGAGGAACTGAGGATGTTGCGGGTATGATTAGCTTGTTCTCATTTCTTCCATTGGCTTTTCCTGCATTTTTACAATGTACATCAGCTTGCCCTACATTATAAATCAACCTGTCTTACACTACAGTTCAACTTGTCTTATCATATAAAAACAACCTGTCTTACACCATAATATAGTATGTCTTACATCACAGTACAACCTGTCTTACCCTGTAAAATAACCTGTTTTGCAGCATAATTCAACCTATGTTACACTATGATACAACCTATCTTACGCATAAAGCAACCTGTCTTATACCATAACACAACTTGTCTTATACCATACCACAACCTGTCTTTTACCACACCACAACCTGTCTTATACCATAATACAGCTTGTCTTACACCATAATACAATCTTTCTTACATCATAACACAACCTGTCTTACACCAAAATACAGCCTGTCTTACATCATAATACAGGCTGTCTTACACTGTAAAACAACCTGTCCTACACCACAATTCATTCATTCAGTAGCATGTCCCTCGCGGAACCTCGCTGCCATAACAACCCTCCGGAAAACCTTCCTATCCTGAGCAAGATGTCCTGCGTCTGATACACCCATCTGGAGATCATCTGCCACATCCTGCACCCATCTTCTCCTTGGCCTTCCTCTTCCTCTCTTCCCAGGCATATACCCCTCCATTATTGTTCTCTCTAGACTTCCATGACGTTTCAAGTGACCAAAATATTTCAATTTTCTTTGTTTTATTGTCTTTACTAGCCAACCCTCTTCAATATTCAGCTCTTAAAGTATGGATGCATTTGTTCTTTTCTTTACCCAAGATATTCTTAGAACCTGTCTGTAACATTTATATTCAAATGCATTTATGCGCTGTTCCGCTTGTTTAGTAAGTGTCCAGGTCTCACAGGCGTATGTTGCAATGGGAAAGATGCATGCTCTTAAAAATACCACAATACAAGTCATTAATATGGACTTATGCATGTGAATCAAGAAAAAGGAGAAGATCTATCTAAGATACCAAAGATATGTTCATTCTGATTTTTTTCTAAAGTGCAGAATGAGAGTTAAAGTCACCTTAAGTGAAGCGTTGTCAAGACATTTCAGTGCTGCATTGGCAGCTGTTATCACTATTATTATATTGGAAGGTGTTGTTAGACATGGGATCCCCCTCTTCCCCCGTAAATACTCTGTTTTTCATAATAATTGAGAAACCTTCATGCTGTTTTTGTTTTTGAACTGACAGCACAGTTCTGTCACAGTTTCCAGTTCTATGTGGGTAACATTCAGGCTTGTTAATTTTGGCAAGCTAGTGCAGAGTGGCAAGCAACATTTCAGAGGTCCAGCGTAGTTAGCATCCTTTGGATATTTTCTCCAGGTCATGCCGGTGTGTTGGGAAATGAGCAGGCAGATAGACTGGCCGGTTCTGCACTACTTGATGGTGAAGTGATGTATGACAAGCTGGATGTTGTGAGGGCCCTTTGGGAGCGAGTGAACAGTGCTGAGGAACAGATAGATCATTGCGGTCTGAGGAAAAGGGCACTGCGAGGAGTTACAAGGGCATCTGGCCGACGCTGAACACTCAGGGAAAAGGCAACATGGATATACAATCAGACAGTTACTGGTACCATCGGAATTTTAACTCCCCGCTTGCTGCTGAAGATGGGGACAGAGCGTCTAAGGGGGTGTCCTGAGTCCTGTGAGATGTCGATTCTTAATTCAACATTTAACATTCTGATGGTTGCCTTGTGCATTTAATGTGTGTGTATGCGGTTGGCTTAACCATGACTGCAGCCTTGCTCAGTTTTCAGCTTTGAAATTCTGTGTGGATTTTACTGGGGTGAACACATTTGCCATCAGATTTGAACTGTAATCAACTGATAACAAACTGTTACAGTTGTTTTCTTTTTAAGTGTGAATTGTAAGATGCCATGTCCTCATATGAAAGCGCTGATTCAAGTAAAACTGTGTTGCCTTTTCTTCTCTTTCCCTCAAGCAGTCAGAAGATAACACAGTGGTATTACCTAGCATAGTTTTTTTTTTTTTAAATGTTTATGTTTTAAATGCACTTAACTGAAATTATCGAACACAGAAATGTACAGTTTGCAGAAGAACTAAGTATAATAGTCCCAGGTTAAATTTCTTGCTGCCCACTGTGGGGAAAACGGGAAAATAGAATCACTGCCTCCCCAGTAAGCATGTTCACTAGTTGGGGGCCTCCTTTGAAGTCTGAGTACATCTGCATGAGAAGCAAGAAACCAACAGTCTGCATAAAAATAAGTCTGATCTATTAAACGGATGTGCATACAACACTTAAGTTATAGAACGAGACTAAATTCCAAAAGTGGATGAACAACCAAAACTTTCTGCTGGAGTTTACAGCCGGTGAACATGAAGAAGAAGAAGAAGACATTTCTTACGTTATAATCTCTACATTAATGTTTGTCACTTACATCAGGTGGGACGTTTCTAAATCTTGCTACAGTTTTGAAATATTTAGAATGCATTATGTAGATGCAGCATGCAGAGACAAAAGGGTTAGAAAGAATAAATACCACGAAGGGAATGTCAAGTTTGCTATAGCTGTTGTCTGCCAAAAAATAGCCGTGTCTCAAACGCAGCCTTGAATTACATGATTTTTATTTAATTCAACACACAGTTAACTCAGCGTTATTTTTTGACTTATTTTTGGCTCACCTCAGTCGTAGACTTTTGGGTAAATAACAACCCTTGGCCATGAATTTAAGTGAATGTTTTTTCTTATGTTTTTGATTCTAAATGTTTTTGTGTGTGTTCACATCTGATATTTTTATGACTTGTCATGAAATCAGAGAACATTTCACAATATCTGTTTGGCACTACTGCCTATATTTATCTCTTTTACAGTGTACTAGGCCTGTTTAAAAAAAACAACAAGGGCGGCTAGTGTAGTTTTTTTCTTATTCTTCTTACTTCTTCTCCTCCTCCTTTACTTCCATGGGTTTATTGCATAAAATATTCTTCATTCTATAAAATGCCATTTTAGCCTTATTTCCTCTTCTTCTACGCGTTTACTGACTGTAAACTCCAGCGAAAAGTTCTCATTGATCCACCTTTAGACTTCAGTCTTGTTCCAGAAGTTGAGTTTTGCAAATACATCCATTTACAGATCTGGTTTATTTGTATGCAGATGGTTGATTCCTTGCCTGTGAGGCAGATGCATTTCTATCTTAGAAGGAAACCCCAATTAGTCGGCTCTTTGAACATACTTGTTAGGGAGGCAGTGGGTCTATTCGTTTTCTCACACGTTTTCTCTGTGGCTTTGAAACCCACATGAGAATGTCCTTTTGTGTTCTTTATACAAAAAATATACATCACCACAATACTGCTTGAAACATTCTTTATAAAATATTTAATTTTATAATGATTCTGTTATGTTTATGGGTTTTGATATATACATTTGTGTATCACTGCATTCCTGTTTATCAGTTGGTGATGTTGAGCATGTTTTTTTTTTGCTGGTAGATTTAAAATATTTTTCTTTCTTAAACCTGTTGCCCCAAGAAGCTTTGTTGCCACTTTGAGTAAAGGCTGCAAAACCATCATGTCTGCAGTGACCCATTTACGAGAATCATAGTTTAATGTAATTGGTTCTGTTTGCACCTGTGCATCAGTTAGGAGGCATGAATATGAATATATTTACTAAAATTTGTGTTTAAGGGGGTTTTCTTGTGAATCAAATGCCTTTTTTTTACAGCCATGTTGATGTCAAAATTCCATCTTAGTAACAGTGATAGAAGTTACAGGGTCATGACTTGAATCACCAGATACATAAATTAGGCCCAAGGATTTTTTTTTTTTAAACAAATGTACATTTTTCAGAACTTTTTAGTGACCTGTGTAAAATGAGTGGTATTTTTAAAGGTTTTTTTTCCAGGAAATTCCCACACATGCATGGCTCATTTTATTGGTGCTCTTGCGGTGAAAGGGTTAAATTCCCTAATGATAGATTCAGCAAGAAAACCAGTATCTATTTCATAACTAGTGATAGGATTTTTTTAAATATTGAAATTCTAAATATCACCAGTATTGAATACACTAGCTGTTCTTTTTGATTTCCTTGATTTCCTTTCACACAAACTGCATTAAATTAGCAGTGATGTTGACAACATCACCTATTGAATGCTGATTGGTTTATGCAAATATGGGTCTATATAGCAAGCCGCTGTGGTAGAGCGGCTAGATGATTGCCCGCGCCAGACTTTTTTTTTTCTTCAAAAAATGACCTTGGCTCCTAGGTCGACCCATCCTTGAATGGGTAGCAGGTAAAGTCCTGGAAGGTAAAGGCAGTCAGCATAATGTTCACCACATCACCTACCAACTGCCGATTGTAAAATATCGGTCTAGCAGTATATGCCCAACACGCCCGAATACAGGAAAAATGTGCCTTTTACTTTTTTGTTTCTACAATATGCTCATTACACTAGTGACTTGAAAAAGTCCATAATTTGTGTTTGTTGTTATGTACACCTTACTCACCCTGGAATAGAGGTACCTCATCTTTTTATTTGTTTAAATGATAGTTTTAAAATTTTTTTTATATAATTGCACATGCATCTGCACCAGCTCAGGGGTTTTCTCTTTGTTTTCTCAAAACATAAAGGGGTATGTTTGTGAACTGATCACACAGCTTTTTTTTTTTTAAATTATCTAAATGTGTTTATGGAAGAGGCAAGTTCTTATAAGAGGTGGCCAAACTCCATGCCGGACAACAGCCACTTAAAACTTTCTTGGACTGGACACCCTTTTCCAAGAAAGCTGGGCATCTCTAATCAGTTACAAAAGGGTTCAGAACATAATGTTACCAGGCTCCTCTGCAAATGTTGTTTTGAACTAGGTTTAAAATCGGCACATTAGAAACAGGTGTCATACTTCTAAGTTGCTGCTACCAGGTCCACCAGTGCACTTTAGAGAGCAAAATCATATGTCTAATCCACTGCAGCTATTTTGTCCACAGGCAGTTTCCCTATTTGTCCCATGGCACTTAGAGCCAGATGGCTGCCAACCCTCTGAGCAGTTTCACATTTCCTCCATGGCACTTAGAGCTGAGTGCCAGACATTCAGGCAGTTTCTGCCATTTCTTCTATGGTACTTCAGTATTGATGCCAAACCTTTAAGCAGTCCCCACCACTTCCCCATGAAAAAAAAATTGGGTTAAAAAAAAACAACTTTGTGTGTATTTAAAAAAAAGAGGAAATAGTAAAATGGTACACCTGACATGCAATTTCTATTATTTATGTATGTTTTTATTTTATTTTCTTGAGTTTTGAAAAAAAAGAAAGTATTTTATTTGCTCCTGTAGTCTCCCATCCCACCTGATCCTGCATGATATAGTTATATGTTGTCTTTTGCATTATTAAAAAAAAATTGTAGAGATTTGTGTGAATATAAGAAAGCATTGAAGTTTAACTAGCTCACAGGGATTTGGATATTATTTCTGGGACGGAAACTTAGTGGGAAATAGAACTGGTTTTCCTGCTTAATGCAAACATCTGGAAAATGTGAGGGAATAATATAAACTTTCCTTTTGCGGTTTCTTTAAGGGGAAGATTTAAAAACAAAGACACAATAACAATAAATTATTGAAAGTTATAATGTAAAATTGAAAGGGTTGATTGCTGCATTGCACTGGGTTTTATCCCATATGGCTCACCCTCCCTCCACAGAACAACTAGTTGCCTGCAGTGCACAAAATACTACTTCTGTAGCTCCAGCGGTGATCCTAGGATCTTGTAGGATCTTGTAAAGTGTAGTCCATGAAACAAATCCACGACCTTCAGGGCGGGATGCAAAAGCCCTGACCACTTCACCATGGAGACCCTCTAAGTCTTACTAATTATTATTTATGCTTATTCATCGCATTCAAATTTACAGTGTTAATCATCAAATCTGCCTGTGTGTTTAACTTGGGCCCTTCAGGGGAAGCAAAGAATAGTGGCAGCCCACCCTACCAAGCATGTTGAAAGGAAAAAACAAAAACCTAATTGTATTTTCAGTGGCCCAGGGATGGAGCAGTTATGGGGTGACCCATTTGCAGTGAAACCACAACTGCTATTTACCACTTTTGCTGTGTAGGAAAGGGCTTTTTGAGCCTGAAGATTTAGGGCCTGCCGCAGAGCTAGGGCAGTTGCCACAGACTGTACAGGTTAGGATTTTATTTGCTTGTGCCGACCAAAACAAAAAAAAAATTCCATAACATTACCAAGGATTTTAACCAGAGTCTCCCGCATGTGAGCCCTTGTTGTTAACCATTCGGCCAGCTACTGTATAGATTTATTTAATAATGCTTATTGCTGTTTTCATTTTCCACCCGTGTGTTTCAGCAAAACTCCCTACGTCTGAAGGTTCCACGTTTAAGTGACAAGTCTCCTACTCGTCTGAACAAGGACAGCTCTTCCAATCGCAGACAGGAAGGGGAAATTAAACTGCTACGAGCTGAGGAGGAGTTAGCTAACCTCAGAGAAGCTTTGTCAGGTATGAGCTTTGACAGTTATTAATGAAAGTTATCTTTAAGTTGAAAGGATTTATTTTTAATATTCTTGTATCATCATCATCTGGTTGTGCCATTTGTACATCATAGAGTACATGCAGTCAGTTTCTGCATTCTCTTCTTTCCCTGTACAACCCTTTCAGTATCATGTATGGAATCTAGTCCAGTACCTTTGGTCTCCCTCTTCAGTGCTCATTTTATGATTTCTTTTGGACATCCTCACTTCCTCAGTCCATTTGTTCCTCATTTAAGGGTCAGTTTTGTTATTTCACTTCGTCTTAGAATGTGTTTAATATATCACTGATATCCTTTCACTTATAACTATTGATACTAATAGCTAATGTGAGATTTTCAAAGATTTCTTGACCGTTCTTCAATTCCACATTTATTTTGATGTAATTTCAGCAATATGAGTCAAAGATATAGTGAAATTTGCCATCCAATAAACTGTGCAATATATTGTTCATATCCACATTATTTGATACATTAAGGAAAATGTTATTTTGGCACCAGACCAAGACAGAAGATCTGTATTAGAAATGATCGCAGTAATATTGTTTATATCCACATTATTTAATGCATTGAGGAAAATGTGATTGTAGCATCAGACCAAGGCAGAAGATCTGTATCAGAAATGATTGACAGTTTGTGAGACAGAAGCATGTGGAAAGACGTGATTACCTAGTGCTGCATGGCATAGCTAGAGAGAATTAAATGGTAGGGGGAAATAAAATGGTTCGATAGAGTTACTAATGTGGACCTATTGGAGAGAACTAAACAAGCTTTCCAGTGGAGCAAGAGGGGAAAAAAGATGCTTGCGTTAGATAGGATACATGTTGAGAAAAATTTGAGAAAATATAACTAGTATTTCTTTGCGTTGGAACCCACAGGGGCATGAAAATAAAGTCGGATAAGAAAAACGTGGAGAGAAGGGAGATAGAGAGTGAAATTATAAGATAGGGAGAAGATGGGGTGAGCTGCATGCAAAAGCACTGATCGGACAACTTGGCACAGGTTAGTTGAGGACTTATGCTTCATTTGGGGATAAAAAGCAGAATAAAAAGAAGACATTGCATAGACTATAAGAAGTCCTCTTTATTTAGTACTTTAGGGAATTATTTATTGTGGCATCATGGTATAAAAGAGCATTTATATCTGAAATAATTGACAGTTCATGAGACAGAAGGCTGTTCACATTTCATTTGGTTTGGCTTATACAACAGAGCAACATCATGGCACAAGTGTAGTGCCCCGTTCTACTTCTGACTCAAGCCTGAATCGGAAGAATCTTAGCTCAATGCATGAACTCCATAGCACCAGGGAGGATCCTAAAATACTTTGGGTAGATTTTCAACTCTGAATTTAGGCTTCACATTTATGATTGTCGGTGCCACATGGTATGGTCTATAAGAACCTATTTATATAAATAAGTTCATAGGTGGAACAATTGCTCTTTGAATTGTATTTTGGTTTCCAGAGCCACATTTTTGGGGGAAACAAGTGTGTCACAAAAAAGGCTAATTAAAGGTGTTTTATTCAAAATCAGTGCATCTGCCTGAGTGGTTAAGAACCAGCGGTCTGCATACCAAAAAGCCAGACCTGCAAACCAGATGTATATGCAAAACACAAGTTCTGAAACAAGACCAAAGTCGGGGACGAACAGCCAGAGCTTGCCACCAAATTTGCAGCTGGTGAACGCTAATAAAAGTAGTTATATTTTTCCCCTAAGTTTTTTTCCTCTTCTGTAGGATTAACATCTAAAGAATGAGAATCAATCTGGTACAAGTCCCAGAAACCTGGATTAACTTATAACAGCTATATTGGGGCACCTGGCAGTTTTGAAGTAACCTGCATATATTTCTCTGAATTTTTTTTCTCTGTTTTTAAAATCATCCCACTTATGTTGATGAAATTTTTTAGTGGGAGCTCCCATGGTGTAGTGCTTAGACACTCAGTAGCAGATTCAAAATGTCATTGGTTTAAATCTTAACGGAGCCAGACTTTTTCAAAACAGACCTTGGCTCCCAGGCCGACTCAGCCTTAAGTAGGCACCAGGTTAACTGCTGGGAAGTAAAGGCTGTCAGTGTAATGTTGACCACATCAGTCATGAAATGCCAATTGTTCTATGCAATTTAGGTCTAGCACTATATGCTCAGTATGTCTAAAAGCAGGGAAAAGGGTCCTTTACTTTTTTCTTCTCCTTCTTCTTCTTCTTTTTTATAAACAATCTGTTTAGTGTGATATATTTTATCCACAGAGGCTGAGAACAGGTTGGAGATCCAACAACAGCTGGAGAACCAGTGGTCTGTGCCTTGTGAGCTACAGACCTGGCTGCAGCTGACCCATGAGCTGGAGCAGGTCCACTTCAATGCCAAGCGACAGGCGGCTGAGAGGCAGTTGTTGGCTGCAAAAGATGGGGTGAGATATGTGAGAAAAAGAGGTGTGGGGGTGTGCATAAAGGAGTTAGTTAGAGAGAGAGAGAGAGAGAGAGAGAGAGAGAGAGAGAGAGAGAGAGAGAGAGAGAGAGAGAGAGAGAGAGAGAGGGGGGGGGGGCAGCTGAGAAACTGCTAGCTGCTATAGACAGGTAAGATTGGGTGGTTGAGAAGGAGAGGGGGGGGGGGGGTAAGGCAAGCAGCTTGGAAACATGGGGGGGGGGGTTAACTTCTACAGATTTTGTAATGTCAGGATGTTTTGTGTTTATTCTTAGAACCTATTTATGTGTGTCCATGCCCTAACTAAAACAATAATGGGGCATGCATTGTAGTGATATAGTTCTTTTTCAGTTTTCCCAGAAGGTATTGATTTATATTCCTAATTGCTGTAGTAGCTTCTGCAGCGTGCTTTGTTACAAAAGTAATAGTGTTCCCTTTCTTTTGGCAGAGAGAGAAAGACGGACAGAGAGAGAGGGAGAGAGAGATCATGATGCATGGGCAACACATGGTCTTCAAAAAACTGCCCAGGCTTTGTGCAATGAAACATGCAGGCAGGTCTTGGTGGTGTATACTCACCAGCCATAGGCTGTTTCCTGTGCCTCTTCATTGCACAGATCTGTAAAAGGGATGTGCACATAACATTCAAGTCCTGGAACAAGTCCCCAAGAGGACAAACAACCAGGACTCTCCACAGGAGTTCACAGCCAGTGAAGGCAGAGAAGATGAAGAAGTCACCTTTTATGGCAGTAAGACATTACTTTTCTGTGCCTGCCTTAAAATTTTAAAGTCAAGAGGACTGACTTTATATCTCAAGGTTTTAACCTGTGTGGCTTGGTCTCTGACTGCAGAACTACTAGCAGTCTGCTGAGAGCAACACACAGACATGAACTCTGAAGCTCCAGTGACAGTCCACAGGGATCTGTGTAAACAAATTCCCCTCGAAAACTGAATGATGCAGTTCACCCAACAAACTGATGACCTTCTGAGTATGAGGCAAATGACTTGACCTCCTTGCCACGGAGACCCCTAAATGCTTGCCCCATGAACCTCATAACTGACTGGTGACCGGCCTGACACACTGTTTCTGTAATCTTTCAACAGTGTGAGAAGATAAAAAAACGGAAACAGGCTTTCTTTGGTCCTCTACGAATGGCACACAGCAATTCCCTGGATGACATTGATCAGAGTATTTTAGACGCAAGGTAAGTGTCAAGTTCCTTGTAGAGATGGAGACTGAGTAACTATAAGCTACTTTCAGCAAAATACTCAGTATGTCATTATCAGGGTGTTCAGTGTTGAATACATGCTCCGTCCCCATTTTCAGCAGCAAGTTAAGAGTTCCAATTTGATGGTACCAGTAACTGTCTGATTGTTTATCCCTCTCACCCTTGAGTGTTGAGATCACTGGTAACTCCCTGCAGGGCCATTCTCCTCAGACCTTAATGATCTCCCCTTGTTTATTTGCTCCCCAAGGGCCCTCATAACATCTAGCTTGTCATACATCAGTTCACCACCAAGCGGTGCAGAACCACCAGTCTATCTGCCTGCTTGTTTCCCAACACAACAGCATATCCTGGAGAAAATATCCAAATAACGTGAGCTACCCGAGACCTCTGAAGTGATGCTTGCACTCTGCACAGAGCATGCCTGTCGCCACCTTTCTCAACATACTCTCTGAGTCAGTTACAATCAGGACAGAGTGTACACACAAGCCACATGAATTACTTGGGATAATGAAAATGCGCTCGAGTTTTGAGCAGGGTGGATGCAGTTGTCAACCAAGCGTCTGACCAGACAGTCTGGACAACTACATTGTGGCGATACCACATGGTGGTAGATTAATGTGGCAGTTATTGTAATAGTGTAAATACAGCTAGTAGTAGCGATGACATTTTTATGTGTAAATTAACTGTGATTATTTTAAAAGAAGTAGATGGTTTTAAAAGAACTGTGTCGCTGTTTGTTATTTCTTGAAACTTGAAAGTGTCATGAGAGAGCTTGCTTTACTGGACATCCAGCGGTCAAGAGAGTATGAAAAAACACAGTAATGTTTTATACCTTAGGACAGCTTAGCAGTCCAGACTAATATGCCTACATCATTATCTTCTTGTTCTTCTTCTTCGTGTTTACCAGTTGTAAACTCTGGCAGAAATTTCTGGTTGTTAATCCACTTTTGGACTGCATTCCTGTTCCAGAACCTGAGTGTTGCGTGTGCATCCGTTTTACAGATCTGACTCATTTGTATGCAGACTGCTGGTTCCTTGCCTCTCAGGCACTCTGACTTCGAAGGAAGCTCCCAGTCAGTCGACTCTCAACGACATGCTTTTGGGTAGGCAGGTGGTCTGTTTTTGTTTTCCCTATAATAGAGCCCTGGAACCCACATGGGGATACATCATTATGAGAACTGAACAGAAAGATCAAAACATAAGAGAAAACTTAACTAGCTGCCATAAGTGAGAATGTATTTCAGGACAGCTCAGACAACTTAAAACATCCGTGCCCTGACCTTTCACCTGTCTCTCAAACCCTGACAACTTGGGGAGTCTCCATTTAAACCCTGTAACACAGTTTGTATAGTAACTGATGTTATATCAGCTATACTTATAATCCTGGACAACCCAGTGACCTATAACATTGAGCCTTTTAAGAGGTTAGTTAGTTAGTTAGTTAGTCTTTCCTCTTGTGTCGAGTGCGGCACATAGGGCAGAGGTCGCGACTCTCCATGCACGGCGGTCCATTGCAATCCGTTGTAGGTCTTGGATGTTTGAGTGGCCCATGAGCGAGCCTTCCCTGATGATAGTTCTACGTAGGGTTTCCCTTGGTCTTCCACAAGATCTTTTCCCCTGTGGTGTCCAAATGAGGGCTTGGTAAGGAAGTCTTGATTTATCCATTCTAAGGGCGTGGCCGACATAGTTCCAGCGGCGTTTTCGTATAAAATTAGACACATACTCTTGCCTGGATTTTAAGAGGTCCTTTGATCAAAATATCATTATTTATAAATAAACTGAGCAGTTTATTGTTTAATATAGTTAGTATAAAAGTGTTCTTTATCACATTGTCCACTATATGTTGTTGTTCTTTTTCTTCTTCTTTCTTCTTCTTTTTCTTCCTTTTTTCATCTCCTCTTCCTTATCCTCCCCTTCTCTCTCTCTCCTCTGCTATCTTTTTCTTATTATGTCTCTTCTTCCTTTTCCTCCGCCAACTTTTTCTCTGCTTCCTCATTCTCCTCTTTATCCCCTTTTCTCAGTACCTGTGAGTCTACAATGTTAGTGTTATTTATTGCAAGCATAACCTATTTTTGCTTTTCATGTTTTACACTCTGACAAACTGATATCCATCCATCTGTTCGTTTAGTCTTTTCACAGGTTTTAAGTCTTTCATTTTCAGCATACTCTTACCACTTCTTCTGTTTAAAAAAAAAAAAACTTTTATATCTGAATTATTAGTTTACCTATTTCAACCCCAGTGAGTCACAGTTTAACCTTATAAATCAGTCAGTCAGTATTTTCTTTAGAGAACGTCGTTCTCTTCACAGCATACCTGAAATGAACTCTTTCTCTAGCCACTCTCCAGGCCTGTGTGTGCTTTCATTGCCACCACATCTTCAGTTCCCTGTGTCCACTATCGCGGAGGTCAGCCTCTGCCTTGTTTTCCAGCAACGACAAAAAAGCAACCTAGACAACTTATCTCAAACATAGAAAGAGATCATCGTCATTGTTGGTCATGTTAGGGGAAGAAGTAACCTGGAATATGATGTGACCACTGGAAAAGTCCTTGGAAAAATAGACAGAGGAAGAAAATATGAGAATGTTTGTCATTGCATGGAGAGGTGTCAGCACATGAACTGATACATACTGTTGATGATCATAGATTGTGGAGAGGCATGATCACCACGCAGGCAGCGAGACAGTTGATGATAAAGATGATAGTATAATGAGAGTATGATGATGATCCATTGTTACATCTATAGAGCTGCCTTAGAGGAAGTCAAACAAGACTTGCAGGAGAGGCTGCACAGGTGGCATACAATAGAAATTTTGTGTGGTTTTCCCATTCTCAACAACCCTGGGCTGTCAGCATTGAAGCAGGTCTTGGGGCGAGATGCTGGCAACGGTGAGTGATTCCTAACGTTTTCTCACCCCCTCTGCATGAATGCTAAAAAAAAAAGAAATGGTTATTTACATATTTGATTGTTGTGACAAAAACCCTTTAAATACATAATTAAAAAACTAAAAACTATTTTACACCGGAACTATTGACTTTTTAAATAAATTTATATACCTACCTTTTTAAAAATGTTTGTTTAGAAATATATATAGCTATGTAAATGGACTAATCAGCTAAAGCAGAATACAGTGAAGCATAAATTACAATGCAGGGCTAAAACATATGTGGATCAGGTGATTTATACAGTGACCTAATGACCTCTGACACTTAACTCTTTGAGTCCCAACGAGCACATCATACGTTCATAGGTTCCTACCTAGAAGCCCAGTAAACGCAAGATGCTTGATTTTACATCTCTCTTTACTACCCCTTGGGCCTGGAACTCAAAGAGTTAAGGAACAATTTTTAGTAGTAATTTCAAACATGTAACAGTTGACACCAAAAGAGTAGTATTCAGTTCAATATTTTACATTTTGTTACCAGGACCAAACATGGACATTAACAAGAGAAAGAATAATAATATGAACTAAAGAAATGAAATGCCTATTTCAAATCCTAAAATAATAATAAGTGATAGTTACCAAAATGACATTATTAAGAATCAGATTGGGACAGAATCATTGCTAAACTGCATCAAGAGACACCAAAAAAGATGGTGTGTCGAGACTACCACTAGCTAATGCACCACAAAGGGTTCTGGCACTTAAACGCAATGGAAGCAGAGATAGAGGTCACCTACAAAGCGATGGATAAATGGAATATCCAAAACTATATCCCAGCATCTGTGTAGCACAGACTATATGTGGCACACAACCAAGCTCACAGCAGACGACTCTTTGCTCTTCAGAACATGATGCTGAAAGAAGAACATGATTTGAGAAGACGAAGAAGAAGAAAAGGAAAAAGAAAAAGTAATTTCAAACCTTCTTCTTTTTCTTAGCATTCACCAGTCGTAAACTCTGGCAGAAAGTTCTTGTTGTTTGTCCATTTCTAAATTGTATTCATGTTCCAGAACTAGAGTTTTGCATGCATATCTGCTTACACATCTGGCTTATTTGTTTGCACTCCGAATTTGAAGGAAACTTCTCTGATTAGTTGCCCTTTATGACATGCTTGTTTGGGGGGGGGGGGGGATGGGAGGGGGGTGCAGAAGGTCTGTTCTTCTTTTCCCAGAAACCATACTGGGAATTTAAAATGATAAATGATGTTTTCCCAGGTGCCCGTCTGCAAAATTCTTTGATGGCAGGCATGACATTTGAGGAGGCTGATGAAGATATGGCTCCTACAGGTAATGTGTCTATGTTTATCAGATTTGTGTCATGCTTGTTGTTGTCAACAAGTTTGCAGGGAATTGACGTCTGCTGGGGCATCAGTTGAAGTACAAGACCTTAGTGATTTCTCTCTTCTTATTTGCATTCACCTGCTGTAAACTCCATTGGAAAGTTCTGGTAGTTTGTTCTCTTCTAGACTTTCCATCTTGTTCCAGAACTTGAATGTTGTATGCACATCCATTTTACACACCTGGCTTATTTCTTTGCAGACTGTTGGTTCCTTGCCTCTCAGGCAGATGTAGTCCGATTTTGAATGGAAACCCCTAATTAGACTACTCTTACAACATATTTATTAGAGAGTCAGTGGCTTACCTTTTGTTTTTCCCATAGTGGAGCCCTGTAACCCATACGGGTTCCTCAGTGATCATTATGTGAAGGCAATCAAATGGTGTAGTCAAGGAAATTAGCAGGTAACTGACAGCTATCAGTGTATCAATTCATAAACAACATACCCCTAGTGTTGATTACCAGAAGCAAGTCCAGTTGTTCGTCATCTTCAGACTGGGTACCGGTTTTGTAGATTTGAAACTGATCAAGGTAAAGGCACTACTGTTAGGCATATGGAGTGGATAGTAAAGTAACAGGCCCCTTTTCCACACTTTTAGGCGTATAGGGCATATAGGGCTAGACCTATATTTTTATTGACCAATCGGTACAGGATGGGTGATGTGGTCAGCATCACGCCGGTTATCTTTACTTTCCGGGGACTGCACCCGGTACCCACTCAAGGCTGGGTCGACCTGGGAGTCAAGGTCATTTTTTTAAATCTCCGGCTCTGCCAGGGAGCGAACGCACGAACTTACGGTCCGCACGTGAGGAGTAGAAAGACAGAGTAAGATATCCTCAAAGGAAAGTTTTTTTCTTAGTTTATGTAATATGGAAGGTTTAATTATCCATAGTTTCTATAAAAAGGTACTATTTAAGAAATAAGTTTTATCATAGTTTCTGTAATAAGGTAAACATTAGAGGTGATATTTTTGTCATATTACTCATTGATATATTTCATGGTACTCTTTGATATATTTTATTTTGTAATCATTGATTTTTTCTTAGTATTTATTGGTCCATTTCATCGACATATTTCATAGTACTTTTTGATATATTTCATAGTGCTTATTGATATTTTTCGTAGTTCTCATTGACCTTTTTTCATAGTACTCATCTCTATATTTCATAGTGCTCATTGATATACTCCTATTTCATAGCATACATTAACATTTTTTTAGTAGTACTCATCGATATTTTTCATAATATTCATTGATATTTTTCATAGTATATTTTGATTATTTGTTATAGTACTAGTTGACATTTTCATAGTAAGCAATGCCCCCCATGATGGAATTGCCAACATGTTACCCACCATGCCGATGTAGCTCCCATTCATTTTCAAAGTGCAAAATAACAAGAAATCACACACACACAAAAAATTATATGACACTCTCTTCCATGTTTGTTTTGTTGCTGCTGTTTTCCATCCACTCGTGCTGCAGATGAAAGTATACAATGTAAGAGTATATATAATCAGATCCCTGAAAAACAGCGACAGCAGATTTATGCATGGGCCCATCGAAGCAGGCGTAACTACTGGCTGAAGCAGAAGTCAATGACTAATGGCAAGATACAGTCGTGTTCCCTTAAAACTTACCACCCCTCCTCCCCTCTGTTGTTGTATTTGTTGTTTGCTAGTTTGATGTTATTTGTCATCTCTTCAGATTTCATGCTGTTTACGTGTTTAAAATTTGCTCCTATCTGCATAAGTCATTGTACACCTTATGTCGCACCTGCTATTTTGTGATAGGTGTTGATTTATGGTCTTTGAATAATGTCATTGAGGAGTGTCTGGCCAAATGGCTAAGAATGCTGGGCTCTCATGCGGGAAACCAAGGTTCGAAACCTTGGTTAGGTTGTGGATTTTGTTCTTTTGCGGGGGGGGGGGGGGGGGGGGTGTTATCCTGTACAGTTTGTGACGACATCACCGGCAGTGCAGCCCTGAATCCTCAGTCTCAAAGATCTTCTGTCTATGCCTTAAAAGTAGTCAATACAGGCAATAATGCCCCCCTTCCCCTACTTTTTGGGTGGTAGTTTAATGTCTTTTGATTTTGAGGCTTCTAAGCTGTGACCTAAGAACTACAAAATAAACCAGCAAATTGAGGAACTTTAGACCCATAACAGTTTGTTGTAGTGTTTAACTACGGGGACCAGGGACCCACATGGGGCAGAAAGAATATTAATATCTCCTTCGCTTGACTCATGATTCATGACTGACTTGGTAATTTTCATTGTGTGTACTTTCCTGTTTAAGTTTTTCTGCCCAAATAGTTATTACATAACCTACACTGTCCTAGAAAATGTTTTAAACCTTTCTTTCCCAGATTGTTATGCTAACACTTTCTCATCCATCCCATATAGTCAGGGTTAGTTGCTAAGTTAACACTTTCTGGTCCATTCTAAATATTTGGGGGTTGTTATGTTAAGATTTTCTCATTCATCCCAGGATAGGCAGGGTTAGTGTTATGTTAACGCTTTCTCATCCAATCCATTTCAAATGGTTATTGTTAGTTATGTTAACACTCTCTCATCCATCCCAGATTATCGAGCTTAGTTATTATGTTCACACTTTGTGATCCATCCCAGATAGTCAGGGTTAGTTATGTTAACTTTCTGATCCATCCTAGATAGGCAGGGTAGATCAATTTATCATCCAAAATGTAAACAAATACTATACAGATTAGAGCCAGTAATTGTTAAAAGTGAATTCAGCATAGAATCAACTGGCTTGCATTTCTCGGGGACTTTAAACCAATTATAGTGTTACATTTATTTGACTCTGTGACCTAGTCGCCTGGTAATCACTGTAGTCAGTAGGAAAAATATGATGTAGAAGTTTCTATAAACAAAAACCATTTTTTTTATAGGAAACCTTTTAACTGTTTTTCTTTTTAGTAAACTAATTCTGTTAGCTAGATGTCTTATAAACAAGGCTCTATAGTGAGTCGGGAAAGCTGCTCTTATGGGAACAATGATACAAAATCTAAGTGTTCGTTTTGTGGCCTCTCAGGACAAAAGGGTTAAACTGTGTTGGCTTTCTTTAGTCCACTCTGTGGTGTGTTAGATTTACACAAGTATTTCTTATTACTATTATATACAGATAAAGATATACCAAGAAAATGGCAGACTTTGCATAGAAAATTATTATAATTTTACTAATGTTTGTTGCTTTCTTTCTGCCCACTCTGCTGTGTGTTAGATTTACACAAACATTTCCTACTACAAGGATATACTAATGCAGATAAACCTAGAAAATGGCACACTTTGTGTAGAAAATTGTTATAATTGTATTAACGTTTGCAGCTAGTAAGAGCACAAAGCAGATATCACATGCTGTTTTAGAAAATTGTAGTGTTACTAACCTTTACTGCTATTCTTTTATAAAATATTTGTATTGTTATGACCTTTACCGCTATTCATTGTATAACATTTTTGAAATGTTACTAACCTTTACCTCTGTTCTTTTAGAAACTTTTGAAATGTTACTAACCTTTACCACTTTAAAAAAAAAACTATTTGTTATGTTAATAACCTTTACAGCTTTTCTTTTATAAACTGTTTCTGGTCTTACTAATTGTTACCACTTTTATTAAGGAAATTATTTGTAATGGTAATAACCTTTACTTATATTTTTCTTTCTTCTATGCTTTGTAACAAACGAAAATGTGGATTACGATAGCACAGGTAGAAACATATGTAAAGTACCTAACCCTTACCATTATTCTTTTAGAAACGGTTTGTAATGTTACTAACCTTTACCGCTATTTTCTGTCCACTTTGTTGTATATCAGATGAGAGTAGAGATTATGATATTTACAATCTGATCCCTGAGAAACCACGGCAGCAAATTTTTGCATGGGCCCACCGAAGTCGACACAGCTATTGGACAAAGCAGAAGACTTTGAATAATGGCAAGAAGGAGTTTATCAATTTCCCTCCTCTTGGGTTTAGGCTTTGTGTTTGGAGCTTGTTTCCTCATCATTTCTTGTTTTGTTTCATTTTATTCCCAGTTTATTTTTTCTTTTTGTTAGCTTTATCTTGTTTTAAGTCTGGAGATGTAAGTTGCACCTGGCAATCCTGAGTTACCATCATACACATGCCTGTTAATTTATTATTATTGTTATTTTAATTTATTAAGGTTTAAGTAGAATTCAGGAAAACTGTCTTATTGATTTTTCATTTGGTTTTTATTTTATTATTTTTTAATAGTATACAATGTATTTATATTATTCTTAATGTGTGTGGTTATTCATTTTTTCCACTATTGTTTCTATGTATACAGGTTCATTATTTTATTTGCGGAAAGGCTAATCCTGGCAGTAAATGCGTGAAAAGGCCAAATGTTTTGGCTGAAAAATGCAAATTTTGTAGCATTCTGAAACGGCCACAATGCAGTTAGGTTCTCGGATGAAGAAATAAGAAAAACTGTATTATTCTTTAATTAAAATTAGAAATAACAGAGTAATAATTGAATATAAAAAAACAAACACAGAGAATTATTATTATTTACAACGCAGAATATTAGGGGCCAGTATATCCATGTGTTGATGATTGGATAATTAGATAACTTCTACTGGTCTTTGTTGAGTGTTGTTTTGGTTATACATTTTTAATATCTATCCTGTTACCACTTATTCTATCAGTCATAATCACACTTATTCTATCAGTCATAATCACACTTATTCTATCAGTCATAATCACCATCATCAAGTGCATTGCAGACCTACGTGGGCAAGCATGTTTCTTACATCTTGTGATAAGAAGGGTTGACTGGCTGCAGAAATGAATCCACTGTACTGTGACTAAGAACTTTAATGAAGGTGGGAAGGGGAAAACACACACACACATAGGTTGTTTCTACAGCAGCCTTTATAGATTTCTTCATCTTCTTTGCATTCACCAGCTGTAAACTCCGGTGGAAAGTTCTGGATGCTTGTCCACCTCTGAATTTTAGTCTTATTTCAGAATCCAAGTGTTGCCTGCACATCCATTTAACAGATCTGGCTTATTTGTTTACAGACTTTTGGTTTCTCGCCTCTCAGGCAGATGATGTACACCAACTTCGAAAAGTAAGTAAAGTAAAGGACCCTTTTCGATGCCTTAGGCGCATAGGGCATATAGGGCTAGACCTATTTTTTATAGATCAATTGGACAAGATGGGTGATGTGATCAGCATCACGCCGGCCGCCTCTACTTCCCGGGACTGCACCATTACCTACTCAAGGCTGGTTCGACCTGGGAGCCAAGGTCATTTTTTAAGAAAAGTCCGGCTCCTCCAGGGAGCGAACCCACGACCTTCCGATCCACGGCTCGCGTTTAGCCGCTCTGCCACGGTGACTCCCACCAAATTCGAAGGACGTCCTAATTAGTTGACTCCTACGACATACTTGTTGGAGAGGCAGTGGGCCTATTCTGGTTTTCCCGGCAATGAGGCCAAAAGCCCCATGGGGATATCAATTTGTTTTTTGTGCTTTTGTCTATAAAGGCTGTTGCCGAAAAGTCCAATTCAGTGGTTCTCAAACTTCCTAATGCCGCGACTCTTTAATACAGTTCCTCATGTTGAGACGACTTCTAACCATAAAATTATGTTCGTTGCTACTTCATAACTTCAGTGAATATGTGTTTTATGATAGTCTTAGGTGACCCCTGTGAAAGATTCGTTCGACCCCCAAAGGGGTTGTGACCCACAGGTTGATAACCGCTTTTCCAATTATTCCTGGGTATGTGTTTTCCCTCGTCCCATCTTTGTTGAGCTTCTTAGTCACAGTTCAACGCTTTAAATAATATCTGAAAATCTTACATTGACCAGTAGCATGTATCATATACTATGTTATCACAGTCAACATCACTGTACATAGGGCATTGCCACATATACTTAGTCTTCAAGGGCAACAGCCATTCAGAGTTTCTAATTTGACCAGACAGTTTTACGTCACATTCAGTAGTTTGCCATCTCTTACTGTAAGGTCGGCTCTCTATCACTGTTAAAACAAAAAACAAGATGATCTGCTCCCAAACCCCCCACTCACCAATTGGGATCCAACCCCGGCGCCGTGGAATTACGAAGTGTGTTCACAATGCCTAAGCCACAGATGTTGACTTATTGTTCCATACCTCTTTTTTTTTTTTTTAATTTAAAGAAAATTATTGTCACAGAATATTTCATTCTTTTACTGTCACTTGGGTCAGTGTTTCTGTTGTGGGTTTTTGGTTCTTGCTTTGCACCTTTCCGGCTGTTTTTTAAATATTATTTGCATAATTTACAAACAGTTACAAGAAACATTGTTTCTTCTTCTTCTTAGCATTCACCGGCTGCAAATGCTGGTGGAGAGTTTGGACTTTGGTCTTGATCAAGAACTTGAGTTTTGCGTGCACATCCATTTTACAAATCTGGCTTTTTTAAAATGCAGACTGTTGATTCCTTGCCTCTCGGACACAAGCACTCTGACTTTGAAGGAACAATTCCTGATTAGTCGCCTCCTACGACTGTACGACATGCTTGTTGAGGCGGGGAGAAACATGTCTGTTCTTTGTTCTCCAGAATGGAGCCCTGGAATTGTTTTAT